AGGAAAGAAGGAGAAAAAGTCAAAAGAGGAGAAATGAAGTCAAAATGAGGAGGAAAAGAGGAAGAAAGAAGGGAAATAATCAAAAAGGGGGGAGGAAATGGGGGGAAGGGAAATGGGGGGAGGAAATCGAAAGGAAAAAGGGGAGAGGAAAAAGGAGGAGGAAAAAGAGGGAAAAAATAAAAAGGAAAAGGGGGAGGAAAAAGGAGAGGAAAAAGGAGAGAGGAAAAAGGGGGGAGGAAATCAAAATGAAGGGGAGAAATGGGAGAGAAATGTCAAAAGGAAAAGAGGAAGAGGGGGAGGAGGAGTGAAAAGGGGGATAAGAGAGGAAAAAGTTTCAAAGAGAGAAGAAATGAAGTGAAAATGAGGAGGAAACATGGAGAAATGGGCAAAATGGGGAAGGGCAGGGAGGAAAAAGGGGGAGGAAAAAATGGGGGAAATGGGGCAAAATAGGAGGAAAAGGGGGAAAAGAATACAGAAAAAGGAGGAAAAGAGCGAAATGAGGAGGGAAAAAGGGGAAAAATAGGAGGAAAACTGAAAAAAATAGGAGAAAAAAAGGAAAAAAATGCAAAAGGAGGAGGAAAAAGGGGGGGAAATGGAAAGGAGGAGGAAAACTGAAAAGGAGGAAACAAAGGGGGAAATGGGGAAGGGTCAAAATGGGGAGAAAAGAGGGAGAAAAAGAGGAGGAAAGGGTAAAAAGGAGGAAGAAAATGGCCCAAAGGATAAAAAAAAATAGGAAGAAATGGGTCAAAATGGGGAGAAAAGAGAGAAAACAAATCTTCCCTGACCGGGAATCGAACCCGGGCCGCGGCGGTGAGAGCGCCGAATCCTAACCACTAGACCACCAGGGAGGGACGGAAGCCTTGCTCGTTATGTTTCTCACAACGCCATTGGCGGAGCTGAGACGTCAAAATGCTACGGCCGCCCTGATTGGCTACACGCCCCCGAGAGGGGCGGGGCCAGACGGGTAGGCCCGCCCCCGCGGTTCTGAAAGGCGCGCAGGGATTGGCCGAGAGCGAAGGCGTGCTCTGCAAGTAGCCAATCAGCATGCGCGTTATGGATCCACTCGGCGGTTCTGTCTAGGAATGGGGTTTGGGGACCCCAAAACGCCACTCGGGGTTCGCAGAGATGTAAATTAGCATTTTTAATCACTTTTCCAAAGGGTAATTAATCCCAGGCGGGTACAAAGCAAAGGCCACGCGTGCCCTGAGGTCACAGCAGGTGACATCCAATGGGGTGACACCCATTGGGGTGACATCCGAATGGGTGACATTCATTGGGGTGACACCCATTAGGGTGACATCCAATGGGGTGACATCCAATCGGGTGACATCCATTGAGCCGTGGGGTGACGTCCAATGGGGTGACATCGAATGGGGTGACATCCAATGAGACATGGGGTGACATCCAATGGGGTGACATCCAGTGGGGTGACATCGAATGGGGTGACATCCAATGGGGTGACATCCAGTGGGGTGACATCCATTGAGCCATGGGGTGACATCAAATGGGGTGACATCCAGTGGGGTGACATCTAATGGGGTGACACCCATTGGGGTGAC